ATGTTAATATTTTGGTTGGTATTTTGATTGATATTAATGCTACATCTCAAACTAGCATGCTTATTTATAATTACGAACTTTAATTGTTACATTTTCCGTATCACTTGCTTTTATACCGGGCATTTGAGTTTTTGATTTTAGGAAACATGTTTAACAAGAAATGCAAGAGATAGTCATTCAATTTGAGTTTGGGCAGATTAGTTTTTTATTTTTATTTCATTGACTTTATTGTATAGTTTTGTCACAGAATATTGAAGGAGGAGTTTGTTAGATTTCTATTGTATTGGCAATTCATTAGATAAAAAGATTAATATAAAAGAGTTGTAAAAGTCAAGGAGTCCGCTAAGATGTTGTAATCAAAGTTAAATTATTGATTCGTAATTATAGCAAAAGAGTTGGAGTTAGTAGGATAGTCCTTGAAGGAGTCCAGGATTTTCAAAAAGATCAAATATGATCATTGGAATGCAATTAAAAATCTAAAAGATATCAAAGAACCGCACAAGTTATATTCCATATTCTCAGTCTAACGTGCAACACATTTTTTGCATAGAAAACACTAAAATTTGGACAGGCCTATTTCAAGAAAAATTGTATACCTTTAAATTAGTTTTTCAATACATTTTGAATTACTTCAATCGGACATCGAAAGAGAAAAAATACTGACAATTAAACAACAGTCACTCGCTTGTAGCTGGCTCCTCGTTCAAGCGACAAATTGACAATCAGAATTTTTTTTTTTGCTTCAAACACTTGGTTTTTCAATCCCTTTTCATTCCAAACACTTTCCTCTGTAAATGTCCTACCCTATGAATGTCCAAAAGTGTGATTGTTCATTATACCTCCCATACATATTATATTCATATCAATCTCTTGAAGATCCAAGAATATATTCAACACATGATTCAATCCTTTGATTATTGAGATCCTGCAACCACATCTTTGAGGAAAATATCAAACCCTTGAATCCAAAACACTTGACTTCCTTAACACTTTAAGGAAGGGACTCTTTAAGTTGGACATTGGGAGAGGTAGACTGCAAGCAGAGGAAAAGCACAAGAATTGGTGATTCTTGAAATTCCACTTGGAAGAGACAAATGTACAAGATCAAGAAGCGGCAGAAAACAGTAGTCTTTTAGATTATAGGAGGTAGATTCGAAGTCAAATAGAGTTGGCTAGGCAGCATCTAACTGTAAGGCTTATTATCTATAGAAGAGGTAACTGGCTTGATCCCTGAGATTTTATCCAATTGGGGTTTCTCCGCCATCATATTGATATTATTTACTGTTTTCCATATACGAACTGCGGCATTCAAACATAGGGAATTGGACTTGCTTGATTAATCGTCTAGAAACTATTAAAAAGTGACTTATTGCTTTTAATAGACAATTCCGCACATAAGGTCAAAGTAAATCGGCTAAGTTAGAACTCCCAACTAGTGTCAAAGGTACAAGAGCCGAACTTTCACCTTGTGTTTCTTATGTAGAGTAGGAACTCTAATTTATTAGTTTCTCGCATATCAACTATATTGATTTCTCTTCTTACAAAACAAAGAACATATATTGATTTTTTCCGCATTAACATCTTTTTTAACTGGCATCTTTTTGTCCTTGTAGCGACCGAAATTTTTTATATTTAAATGATAGCCTTTTCTCCAAATTATTGTAAGAAATGAATTCGCATCGCTGCAAAATTTTCCCAATTTATGTGCTTTAAGTGGCCATGTAATTAGTATGCTAACTTAGTCTAGTATATGCTAATTACTTGTTGCCTTTGAAATATTGTGAGATAAATTATGGTATGTTTAAGTTATGTTTTGTCGCTTAGTCTTATTAGTGTTAGTAGTTATATAAGTCGTGATTTAGTTAAGATTTACATCGAATGCGTAATATCACATGATTTATTATTATATTATTGTAGTTGTGCGAATTACTATGTCGATATTGGACTTGTGTGGTGCCTTATAATTAATCATGCATCTTAGACTCGAGAAGAAGTCAATTTGGATAAGGACAACAAAATTAGAACAAATAAAGAGAAAACTATGATTATTGAATTTATGACGAATTTCTTTCAATAGTTAAGGAAATTGTCCAGTTGAAATCGTGTGAGTTAGGGACTGCCATTATTCTTTGAGATGAAATTGATTAGTTGAATTCACGTCTTTGGAACTCCCATTATCATTTGAGTTAATTTGATATTATCCTAATCCTAACAAATCTTTATTGGAAGAGTTTCCTCGTTATATTATCGATGCCAGAACCTGATCATCGATATGCTTACTTATCAAAGTTTGAATGACATGAATATATGCTTAAAGTATAATATGTTTGAACTTAATTTGTGTATGATTCCATAAGTGTTTCCATGAAAGTCTCAATCCTCTAGAATTTCAGATTAAGGCGATCAATGGCAGCATGAAAGAAAGCGGTGGTGCTTTGATGTGAACTCTAAAAGACATTATTTGAGTGATGTTTTGTTTGAATAATTATTTAAATTTGAAATATAATGATTGCTGATATATGCATATGCATTAGGTGATAAATGTAATTAATAAAATTGCCTTCATTAAGCATTTTGATAAGACAAAGATTAATATAAGAAACGGTCACAAATCACTAGATTAAACTAATTAACACCCTAATCAACATAAACTTAGGTCAACTTCACATTGTAATATAATAATCAAGTTTTGTAATTAATTTCACATTTGCTTGCACGTCCTTGATTTAAAAATGCAATTGGTGAAAGTTGTAAAATAAATTTTTTATTTAGTTTGACGAGTAAACAGTTTTTTCTGTTTATCAGATGAATAGTAACACTAAGAAATTGCATTTTTTGTGAAGATGATTTTAAGAATTTCTTTGTATTGCTATTACAGACTAAGACGCTCTAACTCATTGTTTACTCAGTACATCAACTATATTGACATCTTCGCTATTAAAACAAAGAATATATACTGATTTCTCCAAACTAATGTCTTACTTTTACATTCAATCAAGAAACAGTGGGGAAATTGTTTGTGTAATTAAGCTGTAATTTTCCATGTGTACAGGCAATCAATATCCATAGTTGAACATTGTGTTCATTTGAAGTTGTTAAAGTTGAAAAAGAGATGTCTAGGAATTATGACAACTGGAAGAGGTTGGTGGGTGCCATGCTATGTCGAGAGCAGGATCGGGAAGTAGCCCGGTCCAATTCGAGAAGTACAAGCTTCAGTTCCATCTCCATATCATTGGATTTTGATGAAATATCATTGAAAATGGAAGAAGGATTTTGATGAACTATCGTTGAAGCACGATAATAGATAAAATTTACTGCGGGGAAGGATGTGAAGGAGATTGTGATCTACTATAAAAACATGCACATTTATTTTGTTTGGTTCCATTTCCCTTTCGTAAAATGATGAAATGGTTTTTCTCTAGCCACATTTATTATGTATGAGTGTTCTTGTTGAAGCACGATAATTGATAAAATTTATTGCGGGGAAGGCTGTGAAGGAGATTATGAACTAATGTATGACCATGCACATTTATTTTGTTTGGTTCCACTTCTCTTTCATAAAATGATGAAAGGGATTTTCGCTACCCGCATTTATTTTGTTTGATGCAGGTAAATTCGAAGTCGAATCTTTTCGAAGAGAGAGGGGATGATGTGATCTAAGGCATGAATGCAAGTCCGGGAAATGATCCATTGATCATTGAAGAGAGGCCGATGACTGGGAAGAAGCTATGGGATTACTTGTGCAAGCTAAAATGGACGAAACATTGATCTTGACAAGTAAAGGAGTAAGTTTAATGTTGGGTTCAAAGGACAAATTGCAATGAATCACCTTGATTCAAGCCACTGATGGAGCTGTGGGACTACATATGCAGTCACATACCTACATGCAGAAGCTTTCAACAAGGAATTGAGGTGACCTATGCGACCACAAAGGATAGAACTATGCAGCTTCAAGCATAATCCTAGACGTTATGATGGATAAATGTAATTAGTAAAATTGCCTTGTTGATAAAAATGAGGCTAATTTAAGCAATGGGACGAAATATCCGAAAGAATACAAGGGAAATGATCATATATCACTGTATTAAACAAATCATAACGCGTTAATCAGCATTAACTAAGTCACCTCCACATTGCAATACAATAATCAAGTTTTGTAATTAGTTACGCATTTGCTTGCTCGCCCTATATTAAAAAATACAATTGGTGAAAGTTAAGACGTGAATTAGTTATTTTGACAAGTTACATAAAAATAACCCTTTTCATTTAAAATTAAGACAAAAGGATTAACTTGCCTATATATATATGAGAAAATTAGGATAAAACATTTCCTTAATTTTTAACCAAATTTTCAAACATTCACTATTACAAAACTTAAAAAAATTAATCAAGTTTTGTAATTAGTTACGCATTTGCTTGCTCGCCCTATATTAAAAAATACAATTGGTGAAAGTTAAGACGTGAATTAGTTATTTTGACAAGTTACATAAAAATAACCCTTTTCATTTAAAATTAAGACAAAAGGATTAACTTGCCTATATATATATGAGAAAATTAGGATAAAACATTTCCTTAATTTTTAACCAAATTTTCAAACATTCACTATTACAAAACTTAAAAAAAATAAATAAATAAATAAAAACAAAAAACAAAAAACAAAAAACAAAACAAAACAAAAAATGGAGGTCAAACATGGCCACATTGTTTTTCTAAGCTGTAAATAGAGTGTTGGATATAAGTTACGGAACGATATAATCCAAGATTATGAAAATATTCTTATTTTCGTGGCTCAAACGAGAAATTTTGATTTGTAGTTGGTTTTTTACTGTTTGTCAAATGAAGAGATTAACACAAAGAAATTGTATTTCATGTGAAAATGACTTCGAAATTTCTTTGTATTGGTTATCCAGACTAAACGCTCTAATTTATTATTTATTCATATGTCAACTATATTGATTTATTAGTATCAAGACGAAGAATACATATTGATTTCTCCACACTAATATCTTGCTTTTACTTTTCTTAATTGTGGGCGTGGCTTCTGGGAAATTGTCTGTCTAAGCTGTAAACTGTGTGCTGCTCCACAGCGTTTATATTTTGTTTCCCGGAACTATATACACCAAAGATTACGAAAAGATTCTTCTTGTTCCGTGTTTCGAATGTGAAAAATGTGTATGCACCTGTATAAATTTTGCACGTGTACAGGCAGACAATATCCATAGTTGAACATTGTGTTTATTTGAAGTTGTTAAAGCTGAAACAGAGATGCCTAGGAATTACGACAACTGGGGGAGGTTGGTGGGTGCCGTGCAACGGCGAGAGCAGGATCGGGAACTAGCCCTGGCTGATTCGAGAAGCACAAGCTTCAGTTCCATTTCCATGTCATTGGATTTTGACGAACTATCCTTGAGTTTGCCAAGAGAAGAACAAAATGTTGAAAATGGAAGGAGGAGTTCAAGTTCAGATTCAAGTAACAGTTCTTACATAGCCTTCTCGAGTACTAAAGGTGAATATAGGGTTAGGGAATAAACAGATTTCTTTTTAATTCTAGATTACAATTCCAGCGTTCAGAATGTAAGAAATATTATTGGCTTATAATCCTTCTACTCAGATCACCCCATCTACCAGAAACAAAATTTTCGATGCTCAAAAGCAAAAACTAAAGTTGCAGCCCATTTTTATCATAAAATATTGAATTTAATTTCATTAAATTCAAAGTTGATTTGTTAAGATATTACTCTGAATTCTGGTTTGAAGCAAATATGGCCACTTCCAACCATGCTTTCAATCTTCGAAAACTATGCATCCTCGACCACCAAACTGAATATTTTTTTTGGCGTGGGGTTTGGAGGTTGGTGGGGGTGGGGGGTTATTATGCATTAAGCAATTCTAATATTTATCCTCTATTAAATCAGTTTCATATTCTTATTATCTGATACGGCTTTTTTTTTTTGTCCCTTTTTCAGTCTCTCATTTTCCCACATTTGTATTTCAGGCCCAAAGTCTTCTAAGAACTAGAGTATTACTACGTGAGCATGTCTTTGATACTTAGCAATACCAAGTCACATATTTTCTAGTTCAACACAATGAGTAGTTTCAATAAAAAAAAAATAAAAAATAAAAAAATTATTCTTCAATTTATAAATCACACTGACCTTTAAAATTTCCAACTATTAGGAAGAGACCAGTTTGAACTTACTGCTCTTATGAAAAAATATGACCAACTAAAAATATTAAATACTAAGTTGATCACCCCAGCTTAATCAAATTTGAGAATAATACTCGACATAGAACTCATCAAAATAAACTTACAAGCCCTGGAATTTATCTTTTCTCATACTTGACAAAATTCTTGATCTATATTCTTTAAAGTGGTATGTCTCGCACCAGGTTTTTTATTATGTTGTTGATGCTCTCTAAAGCATTATGTTTTTTTATTATGATAGTTCAACGTTAGACATAGAGTCAAAAGTTTACTAAGTTCTGAATCATCGTCTGCAATCCTAACATTTCACCATCATAAACTTAATTTCATAATGTAAAATAACATTAATTATAGGTGAGAATTACATTAATTATGACAATAGTGGAACTCCCACTTAATTGGTGGAATAAATAGTTTTATATGAGATTTTTACTACATCTTTCAAACACAAACTAGCACACAATCAATGATCAATAAATGTCACTAATTCTACTAATCTTAATATTTATGAAAATCGATCCATTAACAGAAATCATGTAATTCAATAATCTAATTTGATAAATGCGATTAGATATAAGCATGTACATTTATACAAATATAACATGTAATGAGATGTTATAACTAAAACTATGTCCCAAAATTATAGTGTCACATAATCTTTTTGGATCTTCACTTTTTTTTTTTTTTTTTTTAAAGTTATGTTCTAGATCCATTTTGTAATTTCAAAAAACATGTAGCTACTCGGCATATTCTATACCCGTAATCCTTTAGTGTTTTCTCTTAGAATACACAAAACACTATGCACAAAAAAGAAAAGAATATGTAGTAATGGATCACATAGCCACATCAAGACCAACACCACTTAACAATGTTATAGGTTCTGATACCAAAGTAAAGTTTACCTACTATGCTTCTACTTGATCTAGGGATGACAAAAAAATTGGTTCAACCCGATACCCGTGGGCCCTGTCCTGAATGGGGTGGGGATTACCCGCCTAATTGGGTACATGGGGTGGATACGGGTAATGGTCATTACCCCGAAGCGGGTATGAAATCGGTACGGGAAACATAGTCCCCACCCTGTTACCTGCCAAGTTTAATGTTAATTTTAAATTTAAATTTTTATCAAACAAAAATAATAAATTTATCACCATTTTTAAAGAAAACATAAATTGTTTTTAACAAATAAAAAATAAAAAGAATAAATAAATGGGGCTATAAATGGGGTAGGTGACCTGCCCTGCCCAGCCCCGATCCCTTCTCGAACCCACCCTGTCCGCCTTTAATTGGGTATGGATATGAGTTAAGATAACAAAAATACTCGACGGAACGGGGGTGGGAATGGCCGCCTCGTCTCATACTCGCCCCGTTGCCATCCGTCTTGATCAAAGGTTGTTGACACTTACATGAAATTGAGGAAATCTCAAAATAAACTTGATTGAATCACTTGCCTTTACTTGTTCTCACTGGTTCAAAGCTCATAACGATGGAAGGAGTTTCTTTCCCACATTCCAAATGCTTCTATGTGATGATTGAATATCCAAAATGACGATTTCTTGCCCTGTCAATTTAGTACAATTTTTAATACAACTCACATTCATGTCTCGATTGAATTAAGGGGAGTTATTGTTGGTGGAATAACTTCTCTCTCCAACCCATATCATATTATATGGGTTGGGTCAACCCACATCTTTGTTAGGTTACAATTATATAAGTAATGTAATCCATTTTTACCAGAAACAGAAGTTTCAATGCCTAAAATCAAAAACTAAAATTGAAGTCCATTTTTATCATAAATATTGAATTTTCTGTTGAATTTAGCTATTGGCTTGAAGAAAAATATGGCTAATTGGAGTCATGCTCATTTATTTTTGATGACGATCAGTTTACCTTTCCATACCCTAAGTTTCATTTATTTTTTGTGTTGCTCATTTGCCTTTCCAATATAAATTTCAGTTCCCGTTGATGAGGACTTGTTCCATTGGCAAGCTACAATCATGGGTCCTGCGGACAGTCCATATGCCGGCGGAGTTTTCCTACTTTCCATCCATATTCCTCAGGATTACCCTTTCAAGCCACCTATGGTGGGTCAGAGATATTTCAATTTTTCTGTTCCTTTCTTTCTCAAAAATAACAAACATTATTTAGTTGTCGTTGTGTATTCAAGAAATTCTTGATATTGAGTGTTTTTGTCAATGGATGTTCTCATTTCTTATTGATATGGATGAATTTTGCAGATAGCATTCAGAACAAAAGTTTTCCACCCGAATATAAACGAGAATGGGAGCATATGCCGGAGCCATATGCCTGAGTGGCACCCTGCAAAAACCATTTCCACGGTTTGTTTTCTGAAGTTGCCCATATTCTAGGATAAAAGAATTGTGGGGCAATTTTCACAAAATTTTAATTGTGTGGGCAAATTTTAAAAATTATACGAATTTTCTTGAAAATCTTGAAGTTTTGAGCAAAATTTTAAATTTAGTGTGAGGACAGGTTGACCCCAATGTCCGCACACTAAATCCGTCCCTGCTCATATTTGCCTGTCTACTCATTATTGAAAGACAAGGAAAAATTGTAGTAATGGTCCCTACCCTGTTAAAATTGTGCATTTGAATCCCCAGCATTTATTTCTTTGGCACTTCAGTCCCTTGCCTTTTGGGCTTGTTTAAATTTGACTGCTACAAAGATAGGCTTGCTTTCCTTTTTTGTTTATTCCAAATTATAGGTCACTTTCCTTATTGATAGTATAATTAATATTTTAATTTTTTTAAATATCTCTATTTAATATGTTTTGTTATTAACAAATATGAACTATCATTATTCAATGCAATGGTATATTTGAAATAATGCAAGTAAAATATATAATTTCAACATATATTAATTAAATTTTCTTAATTTGTGTGAAATAAAAGCAATCCTATTTTTATGAGTTGGGGGAGTGATTTTTGTTGAAAAGTAGGTACTTAAATATTCTGAATAACAAATATTTTGTACTTAAAAAAAAAGCTTTATAATGACCTCGAGAATATGACCCCTCGTGGTTTTTGCATCAAATCTCTGTATGTTAGAATTAATACTTTTTTTTCAAAAAAAATAAATCCGCAAACTCACTTGCGAAAAAGTATCTTCTCAATTTCCAGAGAGAGTACAATTTCCCCACTAGACTGCAAGATCCTTCCATTTGATTTTTGTTGAAAAGTAGGTACTTAAATATTCTGAATAACAAATATTTTGTACTTAAAAAAAAAGCTTTATAATGACCTCGAGAATATGACCCCTCGTGGTTTTTGCATCAAATCTCTGTATGTTAGAATTAATACTTTTTTTTCAAAAAAAATAAATCCGCAAACTCACTTGCGAAAAAGTATCTTCTCAATTTCCAGAGAGAGTACAATTTCCCCACTAGACTGCAAGATCCTTCCATTCATTGTAAACTTATTTTAAGTTAAATTTTTTTAAAAAAAATTAAACAACTTTCTCCAAACCCCACATTATTGAGCAGTACAGATTTTTTCTACAGAATTAGTACAGAAAGACAATTGTCTTCTTATAATTGGTTGTTATCAAAAATAGTTTTTGACAACAACAAATCATAAGAAAACAACTATTTTTCTGTACAAATTCTGTTTTAAAAAATCTGTACTTGCAGATTAATTCCACCTTATTTCCTGTTAACCTCTTTTCCTCACCCCAAAACTTCCATCAAGGAAGTCTGGGAAATGCCTGGGTGGCAAAGAGAATGGCATCAGGAGATTGTGATGACCATGAAAAGGCCAAAAAAAGTGGCAGGGGTCAGAAGTAGCCCTAAGAGTGCACAGGTGGTACGATCACAAATGGCTTTTGCATTATAGGAGCACCAAAAAAAATTTATTATACATAATAATTTTAAAATTTAAAATTTTTATTATTATGCTAGTTAAAGAGCACAATATTTATGAAAAAAGTGATAGAAGTAGAAAAATAATGACTCTTATTTAATATTATTGTCCTAATTGTTTATCTTACCAAAATATTTTATTAGAGCAAAGGAAAGGATTCACATGGTTTAGGCTCCTTCATCACCAATTTCAATATGTTGTACTTAACTATTTTTCTAATTTTAAATTATCTTCCTTCAAAAAAAATAGTTTAGACATCTATTTTATCATCTCGATCTCAAATGTCCAATTAGCTTTATTAATCAATTACCAATCCAACTAGACAATAAGCAATCCAAAATCAAAATAATAAAAGTAAATAGTGAAAAGGTAACCCCAGATCACCTTTCTTCATTTCCCACTGTCTCACCATTTAATCCATGAAGAGCGGTCAAATAGAGAAGAGAATAAACTCTATCGTCAGTCTTTGTTGCTTGCTCTACAATTGTACAGTCTATATCGTGATATCGCCATTTTATCGATGCTAATTGTCTACTTGCTAATTGTTGTTTTATGATATTTTTAATTCTAGAAGGGGAAAAAATTTACATGAAAGAGACACCATTTTAAGTTTTTTCTTATTGGTGCCAATAAGTTTTTTTAATTAAATGAAAGTGGCACCATTTTAAAATGTCTCACATGGCACCCAAAATCTCAATACCAGCCTGATAGGGTTGAACGGGAGGATAGGGAGTATTTACCTATTTTACTCATTAATGTTTAACATTTATTTTTAACGTCAACACGTAAACGAACCTTCTAGTGGAGCTATAAATAGGGATGACAATGGAATCGAGTGGCTATTCCCATCCCTCGAGATTTTGATGAGGGTGGGATGGGAATTAAAGTTTTAAAAATAAAGGTGCGAAAACATGATGCTAGTCGGTGGTGCCGGCTATAAACTTTTAAGAGTTGATGATCTTGTTGCTACCATGAGAGACCCAATTTCCTGAAAAATATCTTTCTTTCTTTTTGTCTACATTGGATAAATTGTTATTTTATTTGCAATTGCGTGATATTTCAAATTCAACATTCTTATAGAGTTAAATTGTTTGGTTCTGAATGTTAGGTGTTACATTCTATTTTCGAATTGTTGGTGGAGCCAAACCGTGATTGCAATTTGGTTCCTGAAATTGCAAGCATGTACAAGACAGACAAGAACAGGTATGAAATCTTTGCAAGAAGCTGGACTCAGAAGTATGCCATGGACTAACAAGACTTTGGTTTGTCCATTCTATGTATGAATTCGTTTGATTTATTTTTCAAGTCTTGAATTGGACAGACTAAGCCTTTATTTGGTATGCAGTGGAAATAATCAGCTGCGGAAGAATCAGTTGAGTGTTTGAAAACTATTATTTCATAATTGTTGTATGTTTTAAAATCCGCATTTTAATGTTTGTTAAACAAAAGTGACTACTTAGTACATAATTAATAAAACGAATATTGAGTGTGATATTATTAAAATATTTTTACAATGATGCAATAGGTAGAAAATAACTCATAACTGTCTTGCAAATGGGATAAATAATACAGAAAAGGGAAGAGTCTGTCTATAGGGACACAAAATAAGAGCCTTTTGATTTCTATTCGATGTGGATTCATAATAATATCATTACAAAAACACAATTTTATTTTGATTATACAATACCAATTCAAATCCTAACAAATTCTATAGTTTCCGCTCTAATTACTATGTAGATTATAGTGACATAATAAGAATAATAATTTTGATGAGAAACTTCTTTGAGTTGTGACATCATAAAACAACATGCAAGCAATAGAAATGTAGGTATGCTCCTCTTTCATACCTTTTTCAGTATTTACAATATTGAATTAACCACCTCCACACTTGTATAAAGTCAGCGTGTGTGCAGATAATACTATCTCATTATTGAACAGTTTGCATTTTTCAAGTTGTCGAAGCTAAAACAAAGATGTCTCAATTGTATGACAACTAGGAGAGACTCGTGGAAGTTGTGGCTCTCACACCCATTCGAGAAATACAGGCACTGCAAGATCCATATAATTGAACCTTAACGAATTATCTTTGAGTCTTCCAAAAGAATAAATAAATGTTGAAAATGAAGGAAGTCATTTAAAATCTGATTCAGGGCCTCTCAATTGCTCAGGGATTCTATTGAAAATCATTGAAAATAACTCGAGCACTACGAGACTTGATGGAAATAGTTTGAAATCTAGTAATCCAATTATTTCCAGTGATGCTAGCCAAAATGAGCATGAGTGGTTTGAATGATACGAAGATTGAAAATGGTGTTTATATAAGACTTGTAGCCCTTCAAGATATATCTTAAAACAATATATTTCATGCATTTGTTATTGTTATTTCTTACTATGACATTGGATATTATTTCATATTGTTACTAAAGCTTTCCTTCAATGTAAGTGTTGACCTCGTTTTCTGTTAGGATGACGCAGACAACGGATATTAATTACACTGTGTACACCTAAGAAATTTCAACACGTATGGACAGGTTGCTAGTCGATAATATTCTGAATTTGAATGCGGGAGAAGCTTTATAATACGAGACAAATATGTTTAGGCTCTGATAATATATTTTGGGAAAGATTGTGCATGATAACCAATCATAAACAACTCAAAGAAAGCCAAGTAATCTAAACTAGCAAAGCAAATGTATAATCAGCAAGAGAGAAGATAAAGAGTAACTTTAAGTGTATTGCGTTGCATTAGCCTTCAAATAATACAAAGAGCAGGTATTTGTAGTGTTACATATGAAATGTGTCCAGTGGATGAAAGTACACGTGGCTTCATCTCCTTAACCGAAGCATTCAATCTTAGGCACTTATTTGAACTCACTAGCCTACGGCACATTTAATGCTCTTACAAAGAGCAATAGCCACCTTACAACTTAAACTGACAAGATTTGACATTTCGCTCATTACAAAGGTTCCATCAATCATTCCAAAATGATCTTAAACATAAATTTAGGATCTTTACGTATGGGTCATCACTTACTAGGTTGAGCTTTATCATTTTGGCAGGTAAATGGTTTGGGCCTCGGATGTAGCTTTGGGGCTTCGTCGTTAGCATGGGACTGCTTGGCGCTTCGAATTCGTAGACTCCAATAATCCACTCGGCTTTATCGCAGGAGACCTCAGGGGATTGATCGCGTCCAGGGCCAACCCTAAGAATCTTGAGGTCCTAAGCTACTAATTATTATAAGGCCCTAGGCCCAAGCCACAATTTTGGAGCCGAGGCTAGGACAAATGCTGGAAAAAATGAAGAAGTGAAGAACGAAAATTGTTGACCACCGACCTCCGGTCTCATGAGAATCATTCGCAGGCCCCACCTCAGGCAAACATAAGTTCAGCCATAAACTTCAGCTCAATATACTACCATCGTAGTCTCAAGGGACATAATGATTTTCTCTTGTCACATTACCCTCTCAATTACATACACTTGTAAATGGTGACGTCATCATCGCCCAAAGCCACCAATCCAAACCTCCAGATCTCTAACCTCTTGTAGACCATCATTACCTAAGAAGAACATTGGCACATGGAAACCGACCTCGTCAACTAATCACAGAAGAATTCTGTAACCCGACTTTTGAGCTCGATCATATAGCTAATTTGATTGATTTGATGTAATTTTGACTGTAGTCATGTATAAATAGTAGGGAAATTGTTCTCTTAAGGACAAGAAAAAACTTTCTTACAAACACCTTACAAAATTTAGTTTTCTAAACATACATTTTGGGCCTTTTTTCATGAAAAAAGAAGATTTCCCTTTTTCTTAATGTTGACTCGAGATTAATCTTTACAAATTTTGACGTCCATAGTTTGGTTCTAGAAGGAGGAGCCCGTATTGTTAAAAATAGCCCTATCCTCCTTACAAAAACATGAATCATGAGTTGTAGTTCTAGTACTAAAAATCAATCTCATACTCGTGCTTGTGAGACTAATACTCCGCCTAGTTCCCCAAGATGGGAAGAGCAAAATCGAATGAACGACCTGCAAATGGCCGCTATAAGAGAAGCCCTGGAGAAGCAGAAAAATGCAATTGGCTAATTGGAACAAAATCAAGCCCAATTATCCCCACCAGACACCGAGGTGGATTCCCCAACGAGGATAAGGGCTAGACATCCTCCCACCAGAAGGACCCTCCACTTCTCAAGAGGAGATCCTCTAGAAGTCGAACTGACGAAGTTAGGAGCCAGGTCCCTGCAACAGAGCCTATCGCCAGGAGAATTGGTAGTGTTTTTGATAGGTTGGGAACTTAGCACTCGCTAACCTCTGGGCAAAAGCATACTGAACCTAACCTAAAACGTCCTTTAGGGCGAGTAGAGCCCAAAATAAGCGCCTTAAAAAGATGTATCGTTGACCTGGAGTCCAAAAACAAAGGCGGTACCAAAGACTACCTCACCAAGTGACTTTCCCTTTCATTGAAGATGTCTTTATCGAACCATTGCCTGAAAAACTGAAGATTCCCCAGATAATCGCATACGAATGAAAGAAGAATCTCCTTAGCCACATTGATAAGTACACCTTGTGGATAGAGCTATAAGGGGCAAGTGATGCCATCAGGCTTTCTCCCTAACCTTAGGAGATAAAGCTCAAAGGTGGTTTAAGAGATTGCATCAGAGGTCGGTAAAAAATTGGAACGACCTGGCCATAACATTCCTGGCCCAGTTCATGGGTTCCAAAGCCAAGAACAGGGAAAAAATAAATCCCTCAAAGGCTATCTAATTAGATTCAACAAACAATCCATGGAAGTAAAAAAAATATCTAATGACGCCGCGCTCATGGCTGTACTTGTTGGGCTAATGCCCAGAACGAGATTTTGGTGATAAATGCATAAGGATGGACCTAGAACAGACCATAAGCTCTTGAACTGAGCGGAGAAATACATAAGCCCTGAAAAGGCAACCTTTGATTAAGAGGAAGCCAAATGTGATCCCGACCTTAGCAATACGATGAAAAAGAAAAGCCGGATAGGAATCCTCAGCCTGAAACAAGGATAGGAGAGAAAGAGATCATCCTAAGCCTCAACCGTATAGGTTCCAAAAGTATCACCCACTGAAAGCAACCTTAGAAGAGCTATTCATGCAAACTAGCGAGGAAGAAGCATTTAGCAGGTTGGTGGCCCAGAAGAATGGGCAGAAGATACTACCAAGGACGATACTACCGATATCATAGGATGGCAGGACATGACACCAATAGTTGCTGGGAGTTGAAAGAGGAAGTTGAGTCCTTGATTCGTAGAGGATGGCTGCAAGAGTTCGTTGCCAAACCAAAAGAAGTAGACCGACCTCAACCACAACAGCCTCTGCAGTAGGGGCCTACTGCACGAACTCAGTAGACAGTTCCTAATTGTAATCCATCCCCACGAGCCAAGATCAGAATTATAGTCCTGAAGGGAAAGTTGCAGACAAGCCTGGGATGCATGAATCATGCCAAACTACGAAGAACTAACCCCACAGATCGGTATAGATCCTGAATGGTTCTAGTTCACAGAGGAGGATTCCCAAGGGATCCTTCAGATCAGAGTGATGCTCTAGTAATCACCATCAGCGACCGGGGTAAAAGTGCATAGGACGCTAGTAGACAACGGGAGTTTGGTCAATATACTGTACTCAGAAACCTTAAGACAGTTGGAAATATTAAAGCGCTACCTTCAGCCATGCCTAAGGAAACTGCAGGGGTTCTTAGGAGATCCTATCGAGGCCCGAGGTTAGATTGTACCCATTGTAGAGCTAGGCAAAGCTCCTCCCTAAAGAAGGATTCTAGCTGATTTTGTGATAGTCGACCTGTCATCCAATTATAAAGCCATATTGGGACGGCCTATATTGCACGGGCTGAAGGCTGCCACATCAATTTATCATTACTGCTGAAGTTTTCCACTCCCTATGGGATTGGAATTGTGTGAGAAGACCAAGCTGAAGCTAGGACGTGCAATATCGATCTGCCCAAATCTCAGATCAACATGCTAAGGGGTAGGCCAAACACGAGCTGGGAAACCTAGATTAAAGAGGCCCATTTTTGCAAATCTCTCTGAGATTGGCATAGAGAAAAAGCCCCTCAAGAAACCTATGGATGACCAACTATCCTTTGACGAAAAAAAGGTCGACCCACACCCTTATCCCGAGTCTTAGTAGTCTAAATACCTATGGAGGGGGTAACCATCCCAAAGGTCTTGGTTGACACAGGAAACGCTATCAACATTATCTTAAGCAACAATCTCAAATGGATGGGCATACCTGCCAACTTCCTACGCCCATACTCTAATATGGTCCTTCGATTAAATGGAGCCCTGACCACGGCAAAGTGGTCAATCAAGCTCACTGTTGAGGTCAAATTAGCTCCTCGTCAAATCAAAATGAATTTCGAGTTCGTGTATTC